TATATATATAGATATATATATAGAGAGAGAGAGAGAGAGAGAGAGAGAGAGACATACATATATATATATATATATATATATATATATATATATATATATATATATATATATATATATATATATATATATATATATATATATATATATATATATATATATATATATATATATATATATATATATATATATATATATATATATATATATATATATATATATATATATATATATATATATATATATATTTTTTTTTATAGCTTTGAAACATTACATAAAGTAATATTACAAATTCCTATAGTTGCTATATCCAGGAACATTACAATAATTACAACAACAACTAGAAATGATAATGATGCAAAAACATACCAAGAGAAAAAAAAAAAAATGTAAACAAAATACTTCTATACATATAAACAAAAATAATAACTTAGGATATAATCATCGACTACAGCGGGGGATCAGTACCAGAGAAAAATAATTGAAATCTAACATTAAATCACTCTTTTTGTTTTTAATTTGCATTAGAGACTTTTTCAAAGTTTCCATTTCTAATTTAAAATATAGCATTTTGGTATACATTTCGCAAATTTGTTTATGTATAAAATATTTACCTTGTAAAATGTAGAAGTTAACAACATACTCAAATGTTATTTTTGTGAGTGAAAAAGTGCAAATGACATCTTTTAAAGATGGCCTGTAATTAACATTTCTTTGCCCAAATAACTTCATTCCAAAATTTAAGAGAGACATCAGAGTTATGGAAAAGATGAGAAAGGTCTTCCTCATGTATATTACAAAATGTGCAAGCATTATCAATATCCATGAATTTAGATAAAGTTGCAATAATACAAAATAAAAAATTTCCCAAACAGTACCGTGGACATCATTTCCGCTTACGACATGTTCGTCCTACTCCGCGAAAGATCCGGCGCGAAACCACGCGCAATGTTTAGTTCCGCGCGTGCGGCGCAGTGAAATATGCCTTGGTGCAAGCAAGGAACTACAGACAAGCTTGTACGAGAGTTTTTACGCACTGGGGCCGCTGCAAGGTTAGAGTTTACATGAAAACGCATGATTTGACGGCTGAATAGTGAACCTGTCTAGCTCAACTAGGCGCAAAGACGCCAGTAAAATGGTGCCAGCTGTTGCACAGTATGCTAACAGACATTCGCATTTACTATTATGTATGCATCGCATTCATCGTCGCAGATAAAATAACAAGCAAATGTGTCTATTTACGATTTTAATACATTCTAAAGACATTTAACAAAATAGGTGCTGTAATAAATATGTTAGGATAGTTCTCTTCATAATCTGATTGAAGCTAATTAAATCTAGTCTTGACAACAGATGTGAAGTTAACTCTTATTGGTATTACTTGATTCAGTGTGCAGCATGAATCAGCTCTTCCATGCTTCACTTTTCCCCTAAAAAAGTGTGTTGTGTGTGTAATGATGGCTTACAGGGTTTTGCCAGAGAGCCAGGCTTAATGCAAACACAGCTGTCAAGGTCAGAGTCAGTCTGCTGTCCTCCACAGGTGTCCCTGCTGTCTGTGCTGTTTGCCCCACATTTAAAAACACTTGTATCGCTCTGTTCAGGAACAAGATGATGAAGAACTGGGGCGTGATTGGTGGAATAGCTGCTGCCATGGCTGCTGGAGTCTATGTACTATGGGGGCCAATTTCAGACAGGAGGAAGAAGAGAAAAGGTAAGGTGTCCAACCTCATTTTATCAACCCCAATTATCCATTATCGTTCCTCTTTTTCCTTGATCGAGACACAATTTCACTCACATGTTTACCTCTTTCCTTCTTACTGCTGATAAACTGGAATCGACAGATTTAGTAGGCGAGCGACAGTTTTAAGGTTCGCTCTGAGAATAGAATAATCATCAACAGGATGTGACGGAGCATGTCCTCATCACTCCTTGGCCAAACTAATTAACAAATTAGTATCAGCAGACATCTTCAGTTAAACTACTATGAATGTGGTTAATATCACCGTATTGTAATTTCTGCATTTATGTAACATTAAAAATTGTGACAAATGTTGCATTTCCCCACAATAGAATAATTCCAGTAAATGCTGCTAATGTGAAGATTATGTATAGTCACATCACGTTAAAAGTATCGCTAGTATATGTATATATATATATAGAATACATTCATTCATTCATTTTCTTTTTGGCTTAGTCCCTTTATTAATCTGAGGTCGCCAACTTATCCAGCATATGTTTCACCCTTTCAGCTGCAACTCATCACTGGGAACCATCCAAACACTCTCATTCACACACATACACAACAGACAATTTAGCTTACCCAATTCACCCTCAAGTCTTTAAACTTTGGACACCCAGAGGAAACCCATGCAAACATGGGAAGAAACATACAAACTCCACACAGAAATGCCAACTGACGCAGCCGAGGTTCGAACCAGCGATGTTCTTGCTGTGAGGCGATTGTGCTACCGACTCCGCCACCGTGACGCCCTAGCTAGAATACAGAAAAACTATTTTTTGATTTATAAATATTCATATGCAGAGTTAAAATTTATTTTCTTTTTACATTAAATATGTAGCACCACATTGGTCCTGCAAGCCATGACACTCACTGACACATTTCAGTGTATGTCTCAACCATAGACTGTAAAATAAAATGTACAGCTTATTCAATCAGTCAGACAGACAATAATTATTTGTATGGCAACCTTGGTATTTGAAATGATTTCTTTGAGTCATTTTGAACGAATGCTCCCTGAGCACAGTACACTCATTATGAAAAAGGTAGATATGTTACAATACTGTAGAAAAGACAACTGAATCTGTGCTTGCTTAATCCATTTTATAAGGGTTCTAGATATGGAGGTCAATACGGTGTTATCAAAAAGGCAAAATATGAACCTTAGCATAGCACTTCATGTTTGTCCACAAAGGAAAATATGTGTCCTTCAAAAGTTTATATTATGTTGTATTATGTATATACTGTAGTAACAGATACTACACTTTGTGTTGTGACTGTAATTAAAGCCATAATTACTTAATTATTTAATTCATTTTAGTGTCCTTAAAGGAAGTATACAATCTATGATATTACCAATTTTATCAGCACAAATAAGGTTTTATTTTATTATATTATTCATTCATTTTCCTTAGTCCCCCAACTTAGTCCATTTATCTATCAGGGGTTGCCACAGCGGAATGAACCACCAACCTATTCAACAAGTTTTACGCAGCATATTGCCTTCCAGCCACAACCCAGTACTGGAAATTATATTATATTATATTATATTATATTATATTATATTATATTATATTAAATTATATTATATTATATTATATTATATTATATTATATTATATTATATTATATTATATTAAATTATATTATATTATATTATATTATATTATATTATATTATATTATATTATATTATGATTACACTATAGTAACAGATGCTATACTTTGTGTTGTGACAGTAATGATTGATTAAATCTCTAATTTCTCTCACAGGTATGGTTCCTGGTCTGCTTAATCTGGGGAACACGTGTTTTATGAACTCACTTCTCCAGGGTCTGGCAGCGTGTCCTTCCTTCATCCGATGGCTTGAAGACTTCACAAGTCAAAACAGCGCTGATCGAGAGAGAACGGAAAGAGAAACTCAGCTGTCCAGATCTCTGATGCAGTTACTTAAAGGTGACCATCTCCCATCCACTCAAACACAAATATAATGTTAATGTATGTTAATGCACTTCTACCCTCCATTAAACAGCCCTGTCGAGTCATGATCCAGGAGAAGATGATGTTTTAGATGCCGGAGGCCTTTTGGAAGCGCTCAGACTATACAGATGGCACATCAGCTCATTCGAGGAACAGGTTAGATGCAGTTGCATGCTTTAGAGTTTATATATGCCTAAGTTTTGTGTTTTTTATTTCTGAAATATGAAAATGACAGTGTATCTCTCAATACCCCCCTCAGGATGCTCATGAGCTCTTTCATGTTCTCACATCATCATTAGAGGAAGAACAGGAACGCCAACCCAGAGTCACTCACCTCTTCGACATGCAAACACTGGAGGTAAACAAGAGCAGCTACCATACCTTTAATGCATTATTAGGCCCTAAACAAAAGTTTAGCTCAGAATTGGACAAGTATTATTTTTTAAATATGCAGCACATTATGTGCATCACGGTGACGCAGTGGGTAGCATCCGCTGTGTAAAACATATGCTGGATAAGTTGGCAGTTCATTCCGCTGTGGTGACCACTAATTAATAAAGGGACTAAGCCGAAAAAAAAGGAATGAATGTTGCACCTTTGCATGGAATAACCTGCAAACAAAGTTGCAGTTTAAAGAGATGGTTGGTTTCACTACATATTTAGAAAAAGACTTTAACTGAGCTGGAATTTGAAACCTTGGCATGTAGCTGTTCTGACTAGATTTTTTCCTGGTATAATAATAATTATCATTATCATCATTATTATTATTATATTTATTTATTTGTTATATATTAATATTGATTATCTCTCAAAACACACACACTTAAAAACACAGTAGGTTTAAAAGCTAAATGAAGCCTATTTGAATGCTGTAGGAATGGTTCTGAAATTCAATCTATGAAAGAAATAACATTTTCTGTGGACTTTTGTTTTTAGATTGATAAGGTGTGATATCATTAGGTAATTTTCCAAAAATATTATCATGTGAAGACAAAAAATGTGAGATTGATTCTATACAACAGTTCAACAAACAAGAAGTTAATATTGAGTATGGTAACTTATATACAGCTAAAGTCAGAATTATTAGCCCCTCTGAATTATAAACCCCCCTGTTTATTTTTTCCCCCAATTTTTGTTTAACGGAGAGAAGATTTTTTTTCAACACATTTTTAAACATAATAGTTTTAAAAACTCATTTCTAATAATTGATGTATTTTATTTTTGCCATGATGACAGTAAATAATATTTGACTATACATTTTTAAGACATTTCTATACAGCTTAAAGTGACATTTAAAGACTTAACTAGGTTAATTAGGTTAACTAGGCAGGCTAGGGTAATTAAGCAAGTTATTGTATAATGAGGGATTGTTCTGCAGACAAAAAAAAACTTAAAGGGGCTAAAATTTTGACCTTAAAATGCTTTTTAAAAATTAAAAACTGCTTTTACTCTAGTTGAAATAAAACCAATAAGACTTTCTCCAGAAGAAAAAAACAACATTTAAAAAATATTTTACAAAAAAAAATAATAAATTTAAAGGGGGGCTGAAAATTCTGACTTCAACTGTACGTATACAATGCCATTACTGAAATAATATTCATGCTCATGATACTGTAAACTTGAGTCTTAAAGCAACACTAGTGTTTATTTCAATCAATTTTTAATCAATTAGACATTCGTAACAAGTGTCTCATTTACTTTCAAAATGTATCAGCTGTTTTTAAATAAATAGTTTAAAGGAGACCTATTATGTCTATTTTTACAAGATGTTAAATAAGTCTCTGATGTCTCTTGAGTGTGTATGTTAAGTTTCAGCTCGAAATACCAAACAAATAATATTTTAGAACTCTTTGAAAATGCCCCTTTTAGGCTTTGATCCTAATAGGGTATATGCGGAGCTAGTGTTTCTTCCCATACTGATAAACTTGTGGTGAATGGTTAATGCAACTTTTTTCCATTTTATACGGTTCCTTTTACAGCATCGATGTTGTAATGTAATTAAATACAATCAGTTAAATTGACTTTGGCATTCATTTAGTTGCTCAAGCATAAAACGAGACAAAAAGTCGTTTACTCACACCACCCGTCAGAATCGGAAAGCTAGCGCAAAAGTTCCATTGAATATATTGGGGTAAAATAGATGTTCATATTTTAAAGTGAAGATGTAAAGAAATTAAAGAAAAACTTAATTTAATGCAGTGCTTCTTGTACAACCTAAGACCCACTTTATATCGAATATCACTCAGCCAGTGGAGATCCCTGATTTTTTTATTAAAACTGACCTTAAACACGCCGATTTTGTAATGGCATACAGTTCACCGGAAACCCTTAACCCAGGTTACTGACAAATTAAAAGTCCTTTAGCATACCTCCGCATATACCCTTCAATTTTGGTGACTGTCGCTTTAAATTTAAATTTAGTTTTGCTCTTTTCAAAGGAGGACAGAGTCAGCATAGTGGAAGATTCAAAAACAAGACTAATGAGGGAGAGATTGTCGCTAATAGGCGGGACTTTCCCTCTCTAATGACATGTACAAAGAGAGAATGTCAATCAAAGTGTTTCTGCAGACTGATTTTATCAAGAGTGATTCTAAATAATTTAATTAGTAAATTTTTACCATTAGAAGCTGCTTATATTAACAGACTATTGACACGCAACTTTGTTTAAACTCCTTGTAAAAGTGATTTTTGCACAATAGGTCCCCTTGTAATGAATAATTCAATAAATCATTCATTAAGATAAGATTTGCTGCCACCTACTGGCAGTTTTTAGTGTCATACTTATTTATCAATGACAGGCCCTAAACAGTATAGTATTTATTATTGTTTCCAAACAAATCTTCAGCAGTATTTTTTGTAATATTGCACACCCCTACTGACACTGCTATGAATGCTTTCAGAAATCTGTGGAGTCCAAAGAGAAAAACATTAGTTGTCGAAGTGGAGGTAAATGAAGACTTCCTTCTTAAAATATTTAGACATTTTGTTTATCATCTGATTGCATTTTTAGGATTGAATAATTTATCTTGTTCATTTCTAGGCCCACTGCATCCTATTCCTAGTTTATGGAGAACTAGGCATCCTTTTCATGGACGGTTAACAAGTTATATGGCTTGCAAGCGCTGTGAACAGCAGGTGATTAAATCAGAGTTGTTGTTTTTCTTTTAAGTTACATTGGACATAAACTAAATAGATGTTTATTAATAAATAATATAGATGATTCATACAATATTTATTTATAATATAAATAATTCATAGATAATAAAATAATAGATAAAATAGTTAATGCTGTCATTTATTCCAGAGTCCTGTGCATTATGACTCTTTCGACAGCTTGTCTCTTTCGATCCCTTCAATACAGTGGGTGAGCAAACTTGCTTTGTAATACACCAGTACTACTGTAGAATAGCTTTAGTCATCACTATATTAAAATGGATGACTCAGTTAGTGTTATACAGCAAGACATGTACATACAATACAATTTGCATCACATGTATTCATACATCATTTTTTAGGGTCGACCTGTTACTTTGGACCAGTGTTTACAGCATTTCATCTCCTCTGAAACCATCAAAGAAGTGGAATGTGAAAACTGCACCAAGGTATGACGTATGTAATAATTTGAGGACAAGTTACTTTAGTATCATTGTACTTGATCATTTATTATGTAAACACCAACATGGCATACAAGAAAAGAAAATAATGGGCTTGATTTATTTATGTGTTCCCTCTATTAATTAGAGCATGCACACATTTTACAATTTTTTTTAAAGAAATTGTGCACTTGATATAATAATTCATGCTCTCATTCTACTGTAGATAAAGTGTACACAAAATAAAAATGTGTTATATTTCCTGTCTTCCAACTTATTTTAAACATTATTTTAACATTATTATTTTAACAGCATATTAAGACAGAACTATAAAGGAAAGAGTTTTTCACAAAGAAGCTGGATATTACATGTAGTGCAAATAACATAAATAAAGCACCTGGTTATGATTGTTTATGGGATAGTTCACACAAATATGAAAATTGTGGTCACACTTTACAGTAAGGTTCATTAGTTAATGTTAATTAATGCATTTACTAACATGAACAAACAATGAACAATACATTTACCACTGTATTTGTTCATGTTAGGTAATGTTAGTTAATGAAAAAACAGTTGTTCATTGTTAGTTCATGTTAACTCATGGTGCGTTAACTAATGTTAACAAGCAAGGACTTGGATGTTAATAATGCATTAGTAAATGTTCAATTATGATTAATAAATGCTGTACATGTGTTGTTCATTAGTTTGTGTTAGTAAATGCATTAACTAATGAACCTTATTGTAAAGTGTTACCAAAATTGTTTCCTAAACATTTGATCATTCAAGTGGTTCCTAACATTTATGAGATGCTTTATTCTGTAAAACACAAAAGAAGATATTTTGAAGAATGCTGAAAACCTGTAACTATTGACTTCAATAATAGGAAAATCTAATACTATGGAAGTCAATGGTTACAGGTTTATAGATTTCTTTAAAATAGCTTGTTTTGCGTTTGGAACAAGTAATGGGTGAGTAAATGATTCAGGAATTTTTAGTTTTTGGAGAACTATCCTTTTAAAACAAAAGAATGAATTAGTAAATCATGCGCTTAATTTAGCTGAGGGAACTAAAGAAATGGATGGACCTTTTCACATTTCAAATGTACATACGTTTTTAAAAAAATATATAAATATTAAAAAACTTTCAAGGATTTAAGATGCTGATGACCATTAAATGCGCGAAAAGGAAAAAGCATTAGTAAATCATGCTGAACTGCTCACAATTCATAATTTTATTTAATTTTTTTGCATATCATGCGTGGGGCTCCATAATTTATAGTTGAGTTGATTCTCTCTGTCACTTTTGTAGCAGCAGGCTGGAGAGCTTGTAAATGGAGAAGTGCTTGAGAGTCAGAGGACGACATTTGTCAAGCAGCTGAAACTTGGAAAGGTAGACCTGACTGAAATCAAAAGCCTTTCCTTAGAGCAACAGGGCTCCAAATAACGTCCTGTTGTTTTGTGTGTGTTTCTTTCTTTTGGCTTTTAGTTGCCTCAGTGCCTCTGCATCCATTTGCAGAGACTGACGTGGTCTAAAGAGGGCAGTCCCATAAAGAGACAAGAGCATGTTCAGTTTACAGAATATTTATCTCTGGATCGATACAAACACTGTAGTGCTGCTCAGAGCCAGCAGAAGACCAGCAGAACAAATAAGGCCAAAGCTTCCGCAGACCCAAAGGACAAAGCCATTGCTAATGGTGTTGGTGAGAAAATAGGAATTGAGACTGTCATTTAGATCTGTGTGATTTGCTCTGTGTAAAGCATCCTTGAAATCCTTTAGCTACTTTTATAATAATAATAGTAATATCTATTATTAATATTATTATAATTATTAATATTAATTATTATTTACTTGTATGTGTTTGTTGTGTCATGATGCTACTGTCCAAATTTTATTGCCCCTTGCGGGATTAATAATGTTGATAAACTTAATAATAAATATA